TGTGACCAAGTGCTGGTCACCAACGACTGGTGCCTGCCTCTGGTGTTGGCTCTTTTTCTGCTTCTGCTCATCTACACCTTCCTGTATCTTCCCTCTTTGGCTCACCACAACACCACTCTCTGATACCTCGTGCAGAAAGACTAGGAACACAACTGTGGATGTAAACGTTTAAATTTGCAGACGGCGGATACGCCCAATCCCAGCAGGATTATTTGATTGGACTGCTTTTTTTTTGGACAGTGTTGTCGATTGGTCAGACTGTGGCAGAATTATTAACGTTGTCTGGTTTTAGGAGGCTGTGAGTAGGGAGAGACATGTGGAGAAAAAGAGCGGGAAACGTTAGGTGAATTCTCTTTTTCATTACAAATCATTCTCTTTTTGGAGCCAAAGGACATTTTGGACAACCTGTAACCATCATGTGCTTTAATGTGGAACTTTTATTTATTTATCTGTTATTGTCGTCTGACAACAAATGAACGCAGTCACTACATTTGCAGTAATATTTGTACAATCTTGATATCTGACAATGAATGTGAATAGAGTTTAAACTTTCTAAATAATTAACAGAGCTAAATGTAAGTAATTTAAGGTTAAATAAATGTACCTTGAATGAACTGAAAAATTATACTTGGCTGTCATAGAGGATTTAGTTGTTTGTGCTTTCAGCTCTAATAAGTAACCAGAAAACTGTAAATGTGCTACCCAAAGGTTAAACTACTTAATATTAGCTGCACAGTGCATTATCCATCATGTTAAAGGAGAAGTTTGAACCATTCAAGCGTCTCTTTGTTTGAGTTTGATGATAACACGTCGTATATTTTATATAACTTGCAATAAATCGCTCACAGTCACATAGATTGGTATTATCTTATTCAATTTCTCATAGACCTAAATACAACATAAATGAGAAAGTTTACTGGCACGTACCCTGTGTGTGTGTGTGTGTGTGTGTGTGTGTGTGTGTGTGGAGATGGAGATCAGCAGTAAGAGGATTAAGGTTTTAGTAGGACAGATTCAGGGTTTTATTCTGGAAAACATGAACCACGGCACCAAAAGAGGAAGCTTTTTGTTATTTTGTTTGTCATCTAACAGGCTTCACCTCTGTGTCAGTGTGTGCCTGCGTTTAAACTATGTGTGTCCTCTTGTTGTTCGTGTAGAGCCATAAACTAAAATATGTGCGTTTGCAGGCGGGTTGAAGAGGTAGTGAGGTACCCGGGCTTGCCTCCGCGCCGTCAGCTGACGTATCAGGCCAAGCAAACCATCAGCAGAGAGATGGAGCAAGAGAAGATGAGGAGAGCCGAGCAACTGATGCTGCAACGAAACCCTGTAGTGGTGAGACTTCAAATACGCAGAGATAATCAGGTCACTGTGTGTGTGTGTGTGTGCGTGTGTTAATAATCTAATGTATTTATAATCTGATGTGTCGGTGTGATGCAGAAAGAAAAAGAAGAAAAAAAGAGTGCTGGTCACAAACCAATGTGGAACCATCAGCAGAGGCTGGAGAACATTGTCAAACAGACCACAGTGGAGACCAGGGTGAGACACACAAACACTCGCTTTATATACAAATACAACTAACTTTATTGTCCACAATGTTGAGATTTCTCTTCGGTTTCACCATAAGACATAAAAAACATACAGACGTTCATAAAAAGTGCAACTCACAATACACAAGCCTCCAAATCTGTATCTTAGTCTACTGCATCCTACTTTTATGTATTACTTAGAAGGGCATTACTTGGCTATAACCATTAGAGTTGTTCCAATACCACTATCAGGACTTCCTCCCGTACTGCCTAAAATGTGGTATTGGGTATCACTGAGTATGCGTGTCTGTGCACCGATACAATACCATATGATTTATTAGCCCCGAAACAACACCCAGCCACTTCCCAGCAATGTTCTGTTTACCTTTATTTTCCCAGGATAGCAAAGTGAAGACCCGCCCTACTCTGACTCTGACAAAGGGTTTAACCTGAGAGCCAGACTGCCCATACAACAAGGATAGGTCACAAAGGCTTAGTAGTATATGCTTATAAAATGCTATCAGGGAAAAATCTCTAATTACCATAAACAAACTAATCTGATGGTTTACCTTGTTGAGAAGCTTTTTATCCACACACGGGGAAGAGAATCTCCATAATGTGAGTTTTGTTCCCACAAGATGAGTTATACAGTACAAACCAACCTGTGTTCAGTGATGAGCTCAATATGAAAGATGGGTCAGCAACACTAACTGAGAAAGGAGAGATGTGCTCTGCTGCTCAAGAGGTCTTTCAAACTTAAAGTATTTTCAGTTTTACATTTGCAGTTTCTTTGCTTATTTGAGAGCCTCATTAACTGGAGAAGCAGCATTCTCTGTCTACCAGTATTGTATGTGTTAGTGGATGCCTGTAGGTGGAGCCAGACAGGAGCAGCTACCATGTGTTTGCACTGAACATCAGCGTCTCTCTGGATGAGCTGCAGCCTTATAATAGTTCAGCCACAGAGTGATAGAGAGAGTAAGCCTCTAGAGGGCAGAAATGAGGATAATGAGAAGCCACTGGGTTACTGTCCCTGATGGTGAAACTGGGAAATGAGGCTAATGAGAGTTGTGTGTGCATCCATGTGATTGTTCATTGTTCATTGACCTGGTTGTCGAGGACAGTGTTTTAGAAACTTCCTGATTTAACTTCATCCTTGTCGTCACTCTGTTTGTGTCGTGCAGCCGGAGGTGGATTTCTTCGGTCGAGCTGTTGCCCCCAAACCTCAGAGACTGCAGACGTCCTCAGACACAGGTACTGTGTGACATTAGTGTAGCTTCATTTCTCCAAACACTTTAGAGAACACGGGCTGTGTAGGGGAGAATGCCTCAAGGCACATCAGGTCCAAACACACCACAGGTGATCACTGCTGTGTGTTATGTAACGCTTCTGATTTAGAGCTCTTGTGGCAGACTGCAGGCAGAAGATCTGGACTGTCAACAGCACTGCCGCCTGCATAATGTTGGTAACATCATATTTATATTAGCAACATAAAGGACTAGACATCTACAGCCTCCTTCCTATATTTGGACAGCATCCAAATAGAATAAACAGTATTCATATTTCATTTATTTAATGTATAATCCTGCCTACATTACTAGGTTTGCCACATTTCAAGTCCCGTAGTCAGTGTAGCTCCAGAAACCTAATAAAGGTTTGGAGAGAGGTTACTGTGGTTTGCCTGCCAGTCGCTTTGTGTCACTGGAAACAAACCTGACTACTGTGTTCACGCCAAAAATAGCACATTAGCATAAACAATAGGGGTCTTGAACAGAATTGAGTAGCCTGTTCTCTCTCATCCAACATGGCCACCTGGGATTAATATTTCCAAAACAGTGTTTCCACTTTACATACAGCTTTTGGAAAAGCATGTTACTGTTCCTCTGTGGCCTCTTTTAATATCCACTAAAAGACCCAGATATTCAGCGAAAGGCTTCTGTTATTGAGCATCGGCAGCAGCTGTAGGGTACATTTTTATTCAGTTGGTAACAAAGATTCGTTTAGTGGTCGTGGCAAATAAACACAGACCTATTAAAATCACTAACCTTCCTGAAAGCACTGCTTTCCCCAAATTGATCAACAGTGTAATCAGGCTGGAAACGCAGAGCTGTGGCTGTTTTTAGGTCAGCGACAGGATTCTGCGGACTAAAACGGCTCCAAAATCCTGTGTCCTGATTACCTTGTTGATTACCTGTGGCTCGGGTTCACCAAATTTGCAACATGAGTTCATTTTGCTTTTCCTGTTCATCTTTACATGTTTCGTTAAACAAAACAAACACCATATTTGCATGAGCGTGCGAGAGCCCTGTAGGGCACGCTGAGTCTCAATGACAGTTTCATAGATATGTATTTGTAGTTAATGTGGTCAAAATGACTAAATTAACGTCACGCACACTCACTGCTGTGTTTATGGAGAAGTAAGGCTGTGTTATAAGTACGGCTCTGTTTAGTCTATAAAATATCAGAAAATGGGGTTATTCAGGGGTGAACATTTGCAGCTCTCTCATGTGAAGTAATTGATTTTATCACTTTGATTTATTAAACTAGAGCTGAATCAATTAGTTGATTAAATCAGTAACGAAATTTTGATCAAAAAATGCCAGAAACGTCACTGTATCCAGAGTTCTAAAATGGTGAGATATTTGCTGGTGATGCTATTTCTTTCTTGAATAATAAACTGAAATATTTGTGGTTTAGACAAAAACGATCAGTTTTGAAGGCAAACTGAAAGCATCGAGCTCTTTCATGTTCCACGTTCATCAGTTCATTGAGAAAACAAAACAAAAATGATAATGGGTAGTTAAAGCCGTAGATCAACCCATTACTTAGCTTGTTTTCAATCACTTTCTGGTTAACTATTAGATGAATTAGTGATGAGATCACTTGAGAGGAGCTCGAACAGCCTGTAAGTGCCTTTTTTTT